TTTTTATAAAACGCAAAAAGACGACTTTTTATAAATAGAAAAAGTCAAATAGTCCATAGACTAATCAACAAACTAGTCAATAGACTATGCAGTACTATGTATTATACTAGCGGATGTATTAGTCAATAGACTAGTCCATAGACTACTCTATAGATTAGTTAATAGACTTTTGGGTTCCATCTCTTTATACCCATCATACCAGCAAATATTCTTTCGAACCATATAATCGCCAAAGTCCTGTTTGTGATCTCGTTGGATCATCCAGTTTAAGTCCAGCACTATATGTATATATCGATATATTTTTTAAGAACCAAGTTAGGATACAAAATATGACAATAAGTTCTAGCAGTGATCTTAACTGATCGTCAATGGTTTGCTTGATAAATATATACCAAAATGAATATAAATATATAACCAATATTGACCACAAGCATATAACCATTTTGGTTGGTTAGCCCATTCGGGTATTGAGTCATCTGATCGCATATCTCTCTTAAAAACTCCTACATCAGTTTTAGGGATAGTTTGCTTATGTCTTTATTAAATGCATAACATCCTTGGTAGCCTTAGGATATAAGGCCTCCAATATCAAATTGTAATCCCTTGTGCAGGAAATTTAATTGTATCTTTTCATTGATTGCTCATTCTAAAGTAAGTACGCATTTTTTAACAACATCTTTCTCTATATCCGCTCATTATCTCAGACTTATAAAAGCTGCTTTAACTAATGTGGTCTCTCTTTATTTAGGTTAGTTTTTCTATGTTTACTATTAGTTCTTAAAAATGTTCCAATCTTTCTCTTTAAACTTTTTTGTCGATTTTTAAAGGATAAAATTTCTTTTGGGAACCTTCCCGAAGTTGTTATTTAATAAAATATTTCAAAATATAATAATAATCTTATAATTACTAAACTACTTCTAAGTAATTCATAAAATAATCAGTTATTGAAAAGTTTACTAGATTATTAATAGTAATACGTTACTTGGTAGTGAACATTTTTCTTACCTTCATATTTATTTTAAATTACTAACATTTTTTATTTAATTAATAACTAAACATTGTTATAACATAACGCAAAGTCTGACAAATTAATCATCATATTATTAGTTGGTCTTGAGCAACGTAGCATGACTGTGTAATCGACTACACACTCCATGATCTACTTTGTCAGTGTTAATTGTTTGGTTTTGGTTGATGATTTGGTGACATTGTTAATTAATATTTAACAATAAACGCATTAACTTTTACTTTAAAATTGAAGAAATAATTTCAAAGTCTTACTAATTACTTTGGTAGTTGACATTTTAACTTGAAGCCTATGTAAGTAAGTGAAACTCTTGTAATTAAAAGCATAAAAACATGTAGGTCATCAGTGATCTACTTATTAATTACTATTAGTATTACAAAGTGCTTACTTAGAGTCAGACCTTCAGTGCTTTTGTATTTTATAAGCTAAAAGTTTTAAATTGTTTTTGATATCGTGAAGTTATTTAATTTTTTCTTAAATATTCAATAACTCTAGTTAAACTTTAAATATATTATAATTAAAACATTTTTCATAATAATTTATGTAAATTAAAATATTGGCATTTAAAGTCATTCATACTTTGTGGCCATAAATATCAACACATTTTAAAGCACACTTTACTTTGTTGGACTTTTCTCATATTTGTTTGCCTTAATCTTATTTTAAGAATCGATTAAAGATAATTTGACCCACATTTAGTTCGAGCATAGACCAAAGATAACTAAAGTAATCGCTACTGTTGAACAATATGTATATTTGATCTCTAGCATACAGCGATAATAAAACGTTTAAGTAATTGACGATATGTATGTACGTGTATCTTCTTAAGCTTTTAAATAGATTACAAAATTTAAATAGGCAAACACGAATTGTAAACGCCCTGCCCAATATCATGACACACCTCAAGAAATAACAGATCTTGTATTACTCACGAAAGTTATAGAAACACCAATAAAAATCGTAAGCTCTAAAGGGGATCAAATATGATCACTTGCTCTATGTGGTACCTATTTCTGTTCAGAATTATGTTACCTATAACTTAACAAATTTAACTTTACCTCAAAATGCAAATACTTCAACAATTCAATATGTATGTAAATACATTCAAACACACATACACAAAATATTGTCTTACCAGAAATTAAAACAAAAAAACCAGTTAATTTAAAACAATTTGTTTAAAATTTACAACTGTAAAAAACACAATGCAACAAGTTGTTTGTTTTCGTTCATCTACTTCCAATTCGATCGATCAGACAGACTGTTGTCTGTTGCTAAGTTCTCTGCTACCGTCTTCTGGCGACGAAGCGTCATTAAATAACGTTGACGTTATTTATAACCAATGAAATATTTAACATCTGTTGGAAAGCTAAAAAAAACAATATTTATAAATAAAACCAATAATAAAAATCACTTTATATGTAAGGAATTAAGTAAATAGGTTTTAAATAAAAACATTTACATAGCTACAACTTATTAACTAACACTGCCCCCTCATCTTAACAATTACTAGTAAATCTAAAAAAAACAGTATCTTTGAATGTTATGGCTTAGATATCAATTTAAATATTCATAAATAGTTACGTGTAAATATTTATAAATATTTATTAACTAAAACAGATGCTGTAGTGAATGGTAACGTTTGTTTTAAAACTTGTAACAACATGCGATATTTTACATGTATTTTAAAAGTTCAAATAAAATGATGTAAAACGTAACGTATAAATTAAAAATTACTAAATGCATTTAACCCTTAAGGGAACTGGAGGTTTTTATGGGAACAGAGATTCGGAAACTCAATGATAATGTTACTTAAATTTTAATTCAGTTTTACTTCTGTTCTATTTTAGTTTAGTTCTATTTCAGTTTTAGTTCAGTTCAAGTTCAGTTCTAGTTCAATTCTAGTTCAGTTCTAGTTCAGTTCTAGTTCTAGTTCAGTTCTAGTTCTAGTTCAGTTCTAGTTCAGTTCTAGTTCAGTTCTAGTTCAGTTCTAGTTCAGTTCTAGTTCAGTTCTAGTTCAGTTCTAGTTCAGTTCTAGTTCAGTTCTAGTTCAGTTCTAGTTCAGTTCTAGTTCAGTTCTAGTTCTAGTTCAGTTCTAGTTCAGTTCTAGTTCAGTTCTAGTTCAGTTCTAGTTCAGTTCCTAGTCAGTCTAGTTCAGTTCTAGTTCAGTTCTAGTTCAGTTCTAGTTCAGTTCTAGTTCAGTTCTAGTTCAGTTCTAGTTCAGTTCTAGTTCAGTTCTAGTTCAGTTCTAGTTCAGTTCTAGTTCAGTTCTAGTTCAGTTCTAGTTCAGTTCTAGTTCAGTTCTAGTTCAGTTCTAGTTCGGTTCTAGTTCAGTTCTAGTTCAGTTCTAGTTCAGTTCTAGTTCAGTTCTAGTTCAGTTCTAGTTCAGTTCTAGTTCAGTTCTAGTTCAGTTCTAGTTCAGTTCTAGTTCAGTTCTAGTTCAGTTCTAGTTCAGTTCTAGTTCAGTTCTAGTTCAGTTCTAGTTCAGTTCTAGTTCAGTTCTAGTTCAGTTCTAGTTCAGTTCGTCTAGTTCAGTTCTAGTTCAGTTCTAGTTCAGTTCTAGTTCAGTTCTAGTTCAGTTCTAGTTCAGTTCTAGTTCAGTTCTAGTTCAGTTCTAGTTCAGTTCTAGTTCAGTTCTAGTTCAGTTCTAGTTCAGTTCTAGTTCAGTTCTAGTTCAGTTCTAGTTCAGTTCTAGTTCAGTTCTAGTTCAGTTCTAGTTCTAGTTCAGTTCTAGTTCAGTTCTAGTTCAGTTCTAGTTCAGTTCTAGTTCAGTTCTAGTTCAGTTCTAGTTCAGTTCTAGTTCAGTTCTAGTTCAGTTCTAGTTCAGTTCTAGTTCAGTTCTAGTTCAGTTCTAGTTCAGTTCTAGTTCAGTTCTAGTTCAGTTCTAGTTCAGTTCTAGTTCAGTTCTAGTTCAGTTCTAGTTCAGTTCTAGTTCAGTTCTAGTTCAGTTCTAGTTCAGTTCTAGTTCAGTTCTAGTTCAGTTCTAGTTCAGTTCTAGTTCAGTTCTAGTTCAGTTCTAGTTCAGTTCTAGTTCAGTTCTAGTTCAGTTCTAGTTCAGTTCAGTTCAGTTCTAGTTCAGTTCTAGTTCAGTTCTAGTTCAGTTCTAGTTCAGTTCTAGTTCAGTTCTAGTTCAGTTCTAGTTCAGTTCTAGTTCAGTTCTAGTTCAGTTCTAGTTCAGTTCTAGTTCAGTTCTAGTTCAGTTCTAGTTCAGTTCTAGTTCAGTTCTAGTTCAGTTCCAGTTCAGTTTCTAGTTCAGTTCTAGTTCAGTTCTAGTTCAGTTCTAGTTCAGTTCTAGTTCAGTTCTAGTTCAGTTCTAGTTCAGTTCTAGTTCAGTTCTAGTTCAGTTCTAGTTCAGTTCTAGTTCAGTTCTAGTTCAGTTCTAGTTCAGTTCTAGTTCAGTTCTAGTTCAGTTCTAGTTCAGTTCTAGTTCAGTTCTAGTTCAGTTCTAGTTCAGTTCTAGTTCAGTTCGAGTTCAGTTCTAGTTCAGTTCTAGTTCAGTTCTAGTTCAGTTCTAGTTCAGTTCTAGTTCAGTTCTAGTTCAGTTCTAGTTCAGTTCTAGTTCAGTTCTAGTTCAGTTCTAGTTCAGTTCTAGTTCAGTTCTAGTTCAGTTCTAGTTTAGTTCTGGTTCAGTACTATGGGATATCTCTAGAAAGTTATACAAAAAATCGATTAGCTGTTAACGAGTTAATTATAGTATTAAATATGCATGAAGATGAAGTAATTATTTAAGTATGCAAATTAATCTGTTACAATACACCTGTTAACTTTATTCATTACTAATTTGCATTTCCGTAATTACTGGTAACAAATAAGCTTAAATGCCCACTGTAACTAACACACACAAGAATGCTTAAAAAACTGATACTACTAAACCTCTTAGCACTTAATCGTGAAGTGCTTTGAGTCACGTGTTTGCAATAAATGAAAGTAAAATTATTTATTTATATTTTTTTATTTACAATTTCATATTTAGGAACATCATATTTTACATCGGCTTATCGATCGAATGGACCCACATCATATGCTGAATTTAACTATTATAATTTTCCGTATTTACAACGATTTACGTTTTAGTTTTAAATTAAAACCAACAATAAGAACCACAAAAACAACAAACAACAGCAGTAGCAACAACAACAACAACCATAAAGCAAAACAATCGATCAATTGATCGGTATGAAATTCTCATAAAAGCAGCCAAAAGAAGCCAAACAGCAACTAAAGACGGCTGCTTCTGAAGACAGGAGGTATGAGGAGGCAAAATAGGCGACAGTCGCTGAGACTTATTGCAAATGCAAAAACCAGTCATAGTTTTAGTATTTGTGTATTGTATTAAAAAGACATACAATATTTAGAAGTAAAAATATAATAATCATTTATTTAAATAAAATATTTTAAAATAAAAAACTTGTGCATAAAATAATTATCTTTATTTTGATTGTAAAATAGCAAATATATATTTTTAATTTCACCTTTAATTGTTTATCTTTAGTGTAATTTATTTTCTAATTATATGTATGTACATTTTCTTATGAATTTTAGCTTGTAAATTATTGTAAATAATTAATTATTTTGAAATTTTTGTGTAATTAAAATAAATAATTAAAAAAAAATAAATATATAAATGCATAATTTGTATAATTAGATTAAAGGTAGGTATTTAGAATGATGCTTACATAACATCAATATTATTCTCATTTGTCCTTAATATTAATCAAGTGTCAACCAAAGTGATAAATTATTCAAAATTTTTGAGCTCATAATTATGTTAAATATACAGCACAATAAAATATTATGTAAATATAAATATATTCACAAAATGTTATCGGGCTTGGTCCATATTTGCCCCTAGCCCCCATATAAAGCCTCTTTCAGAAAATTAGTTTTTCATCCATAAATTGCTTAAATGTATCGGAACAAGGGAATATTAAAGATAAATGCTTTATTATGAAAAATAAATCACATTTAATATTCATAACATATGGTCGGTCAAGCCCGACTATACTTTCTTACTCGTTCTTCTTTCATTTCTTTTCTTTTTCTTTTCTTTTCTTTTCTTTTCTAGTTCTGTTCTAGTTCTGTTTTAGTTCTGTTCTAGTTCTGTTCTAGTTCTGTTCTAGTTTTGTTCTAGTTCTGTTCTAGTGCTGTTCTAGTTCTGTTCTAGTTCTGTTCTAGTTCTGTTCTAGTTCTGTTCTAGTTCTGTTCTAGTTCTGTTCTAGTTCTGTTCTAGTTCTGTTCTAGTTCTGTTCTAGTTCTGTTCTAGTTCTGTTCTAGTTCAGTTCTAGTTCAGTTCTAGTTCTGTTCTAGTTCTGTTCTAGTTCTGTTCTAGTTCTGTTCTAGTTCTGTTCTAGTTCTGTTCTAGTTCTGTTCTAGTTCTGTTCTAGTTCTGTTCTAGTTCTGTTCTAGTTCTGTTCTAGTTCTGTTCTAGTTCTGTTCTAGTTCTGTTCTAGTTCGTTTCTAGTTCGTTTCTAGTTCTGTTCTAGTTCTGTTCTAGTTCTGTTCTAGTTCTGTTCTAGTTCTGTTTCAGTTCTGTTCTAGTTCTGTTCTAGTTCTGTTCTAGTTCTGTTCTAGTTCTGTTCTAGTTCTGTTCTAGTTCTGTTCTAATTCTGTTCTAATTCTGTTCTAGTTCTGTTCTAGTTCTGTTCTAGTTCTGTTCTAGTTCTGTTCTAGTTCTGTTCTAGTTCGTTTCTAGTTCTGTTCTAGTTCTGTTCTAGTTCTGTTCTAGTTCTGTTCTAGTTCTGTTCTAGTTCTGTTCTAGTTCTGTTCTAGTTCAGTTCTAGTTCTGTTCTAGTTCTGTTCTAGTTCTGTTCTAGTTCTGTTCTAGTTCTGTTCTAGTTCTGTTCTAGTTCTGTTCTAGTTCTGTTCTAGTTCTGTTCTAGTTCTGTTCTAGTTCTGCTCTAGTTCTGTTCTAGTTCTGTTCTAGTTCTGTTCTAGTTCTGTTCTAGTTCTGTTCTAGTTCTGTTCTAGTTCTGTTCTAGTTTTGTTGTACTTCTGTTCTAGTTCTGTTCTAGTTCTGCTCTAGCTCTGTTCTTGTTCTATTATAGTTCTGTTCTAGTTCTGTTCTTGTTCTATTCTAGTTCTGTTCTAGTTCTGTTCTAGTTCAGTTCTAGTTCAGTTCTAGTTCAGTTCTAGTTCTGTTCTAGTTCTGTTCTAGTTCTGTTGTAGTTCTGTTCTAGTTCTGTTCTAGTTCTGTTCTAGTTCTGCTCTAGTTCTGTTCTAGTTCTGTTCTAGTTCTGTTCTAGTTCTGTTCTAGTTATGTTCTAGTTCTGTTCTAGTTCTGTTGTACTTCTGTTCTAGTTCTGTTCTAGTTCTGCTCTAGCTCTGTTCTTGTTCTATTATAGTTCAGTTCTAGTTCTATTCTAGTTCTGTTCTAGTTCTGTTCTAGTTCAGTTCTAGTTCAGTTCTAGTTCAGTTCTAGTTCAGTTCTAGTTCTGTTCTAGTTCTGTTCTAGTTCTGTTCTAGTTCTGTTCTAGTTCTGTTCTAGTTCTGTTCTAGTTCTGTTCTAGTTCTGTTCTAGTTCTGTTCTAGTTCTGTTCTAGTTCTGTTCTAGTTCTGTTGTACTTCTGTTCTAGTTCTGCTCTAGCTCTGTTCTTGTTCTATTATAGTTCTGTTCTAGTTCTGTTCTAGTTCTGTTCTAGTTCTGTTCTAGTTCTGTTCTAGTTCTGTTCTAGTTCTGCTCTAGTTCTGTTCTAGTTCTGTTCTAGTTCTGTTCTAGTTCTAGTTCTGTTGTAGTTCTGTTCTAGTTCTGTTCTAGTTCTGTTCTAGTTCTGTTCTAATTCTGTTCTAGTTCTGTTCTAGTTCTGTTCTAGTTCTGCTCTAGTTCTGTTACAGTTCTAGTTCTGTTCTAGTTCGTTTCTAGTTCAGTTCTAGTTCATTTCTAGTTCAGTTCTAGTTCAGATCTAGTTCAGTTCTAGTTCAGTTCTAGTTCAGTTCTAGTTCAGTTCTAGTTCTAGTTCAGTTCTAGTTCAGTTCTAGTTCAGTTCTGTTCTAGTTCTGTTCTAGTTCTGTTCTAGTTCTGTTCTAGTTCTGTTCTAGTTCTGTTTTAGCTCTGTTTTAGCGCTGTTTAGTTCTGTTTTAGTTCTGTTTTAGTTCTGTTCTAGTTATGTTCTAGTTCTGTACTTGTTCTGTTCTAGTGCTATTTGAGTTCTATTTTAGTTTTATTTTACAATTAAATTTTATATATCTATGACCATAAATGTACTTACATGTTTATCTGTATATTTTAAATTATTTTTTCAGGTAAAGAACACTTAAATTTATTAAAAAGGTAAGTGAAATGTTTACATTTTATTATACCAAAATTCTCAAGTTGAAGTAAAAAAGACAAAGAGATATTGAATATGATGTAGTATTCTCTTGCAAATTCCTTTTATCAAATGCAGCATTGTAGATACTTACGCCATGTAAACATATTTTTATGTAATTTTTACAAATTTTAAATGTCAATTAAGTGTAAATGAGTCAGTTATAAATTACATATTGTTCGTGCATTTAAAACAAAACTGCAGTTGTCAATCATTTTTTTAGACTTCACCTCAACCTTGTTGTCTTAATGGTTGCAATAATTTCAAACAATTTTCTATTCACACCATTTAACCTAAAAAAAACATAAACAATTTACATGTGTATTTAAAACTAGAAAATTGAAAACAAAAGATATCAACAAAAATGTCACATTTTTAACACACTATTAAAAAATACCATAAATGAAAAACTGAAAAAATAAAAACAAAGAATATGTTCAACATGATATCCAGCGCCTTTAGGTGAATAATACAAATCGCACAAATATTTAGTCACTTCTATATTCTCTGTTTAACTTGGTTTTCATTTTAACAAACAATACCGCGTTTAAAGGAATATACAAACATTTTCTGAAAGAATTCATGTACTACCAAAAATTAAAATAAACAAATTTAAATACAAGTTTTAGTGAAAACATAAAACAGAATAAACAAATTTTTGTTCACATGTGTAGAAAAGCTTCGTAAGACACCGCAGTACCAGAAAAAAGATACATGAACATACATCGGAGGAAAAAATTAAAACAACGCCATGCAACAATGGTTAAATGCAAATATGTATTTTTCTTAGCGTTACAATGAAAATGCGTTTAATTTAGATGCTGAATTTAGCAGAGTTTTACACACAGTCATATGTAGATGTCGTACGCTTAGCGAAAAAAGCACTTAGTCATTTTTTTTTGTTGTAAAAACATCATTGTAAATTAATAGTGAAAATATAAAAGTCTGCATTCAACTTCAAAATAATTTCTAGTTCTAGTTCAGTTCTAGTACAGTTCTAGATCAGTTCTAGTTCAGTTCTAGTTCAGTTCTAGATCAGTTCCAGTTCAATTCTAGTTCAGTTCTAGTTCAGTTCTAGTTCAGTTCTAGTTCAGTTCTAGTTCAGTTCTAGTTCAGTTCTAGTTCAGTTCTAGTTCTAGTTCAGTTCTAGTTCAGTTCTAGTTCAATTCTAGTTCAGTTCCAGTTCAGTTCTAGTTCAGTTCTAGTTCAATTCTAGTTCAGTTCTAGTTCAGTTCTAGTTCTGTTCTAGTTCAGTTCTAGTTCAGTTCTAGTTCAGTTCTAGTTCTGTTCTAGTTCAGTTCAGTTCCAGTTCAGTTCAGTTCTAGTTCAGTTCTAGTTCAATTCTAGTTCAGTTCTAGTTCAATTCTAGTTCAGTTCCAGTTCAGTTCTAGTTCAGTTCTAGTTCAATTCTAGTTCAGTTCTAGTTCAGTTCTAGTTCAGTTCTAGTTCTGTTCTAGTTCAGTTCTAGTTCTGTTCTAGTTCTGTTGTACTTCTGTTCTAGTTCTGCTCTAGCTCTGTTCTTGTTCTATTATAGTTCTGTTCTAGTTATGTTCTAGTTCTGTTCTAGTTCTGTTCTAGTTCTGTTCTAGTTCTGTTCTAGTTCTGTTCTAGTTCTGTTCTAGTTCTGTTCTAGTTCTGTTCTAGTTCTGTTCTAGTTCTGTTCTAGTTCTGTTCTAGTCTGTTCTAGTTCTGTTCTAGTTCTGTTCTAGTTCTGTTCTAGTTCTGTTCTAGTTCTGTTCTAGTTCTGTTCTAGTTCTGTTCTAGTTCTGTTCTAGTTCTGTTCTAGTTCTGTTCTAGTTCTGTTCTAGTTCTGTTCTAGTTCTGTTCTAGTTCTGTTCTAGTTCTGTTCTAGTTCTGTTCTAGTTCTGTTCTAGTTCTGTTCTAGTTCTGTTCTAGTTCTGTTCTAGTTCTGTTCTAGTTCTGTTCTAGTTCTGTTCTAGTTCTGTTCTAGTTCTGTTCTAGTTCTGTTCTAGTTCTGTTCTAGTTCTGTTCTAGTTCTGTTCTAGTTCAGTTCTAGTTCAGTTCTAGTTCAGTTCTAGTTCAGTTCTAGTTCAGTTCCAGTTCAGTTCTAGTTCAGTTCTAGTTCAGTTCTAGTTCAGTTCTAGTTCAGTTCTAGTTCAGTTCTAGTTCAGTTCTAGTTCAGTTCTAGTTCAATTCTAGTTCAATTCTAGTTCAGTTCTAGTTCAGTTATAGTTCAGTTATAGTTCAGTTATAGTTCAGTTATAGTTCAGTTCTAGTTCAGTTCTAGTTCAGTTCTAGTTCAGTTCTAGTTCAGTTCTAGTTCTAGTTCAGTTCTAG